AGTGCAGGACGGTAGCTTGACACGCTAACCATTCGGCTGAGGGTGTTGATAAGACCAATGCGAGGTCGAAACTGCAGCCCATTGGTGCCTGTATGAGAACAACTTTTGCGAAAGCAAAGCTATGTAAAAGTCCAGCCCAACTCATATCATTTGTGGGAAAATTCTACTTCTACCAGTCCTTCATCACCTTAAACGAAATTGGGTAAATACATCTTATAACGGATTTACTGGTAGTCACGAAAAACAATACTTAATTCGAAAAATACAATCTGTATGTTTCTCACCTTTAACTGCCTATCCCACATTCCACAGGCGGACCCAGACCGGCAACTTTTCAAGCTGACTCCAGGTTTGACTGCTCTCATTGCTATCGCTTTGTCTTTCTGGCGATATCTCTTTCTGCTCTTGAGAGAACGCCCTGGACTTGGCGTTTTCTCTAAACTCTCCTCTCCGGAGCTCTAAATCTGCCCGGGCTGTACCCGAACTGTGCACCGAATCCTCCCTCTTCCAATCTCCTGTTCATCAGGTTTCCTTGAGATAGGGCGTCCACAGCTTGCATGATCTTTTTCTTGTCTTTTTTTCCCCATACGAGCCATGTCTTTTCGTCACACTCCGGTCATTTGTGGGGCCGGTCTGTGCAATGTATTCGGCTAGCCCCAATCTTTCCGTATCCATTTTTCTGCATAGTCGCTGGTGTTCTTTGCTCCTTGTCCAATCGTCCTCCCAGTCTCTTTAATGCACTTTTGCTTGCAGTCCTTGCAGTTTATGCTGTAAACTATGGAGCACTTCATTTTGCCGAATTTTTCATGTTGTGCGGGCAAGCTGGTGCAGAAAGTTGTCCTTTCCTACAGGATACTGCGGCAGAGGACGCAGGAATCGGTTTGCTCCACAAGGTCTTTCTGTCACTTTGACCAAGTTGCGAAAACGAGGTTAAGCCAACACCAACTTTTATTTCATTTAAAAAGGCAGCTGGCGGCTGAGTCTAGCAACTTGGCCAATTCGGAAACAGAAAAAGAATAGCTTTGACGTTGTGATTGTTGGATTGTGCAAAGAAGATCTCGACACACCGTCCAGCCACCCCGAGTGTGATTTCATCCGTCAACTGGCAGACTTCGCCAGATCTAGAGACGGTCATTTCAGAAAGTTCTCCAAAAACACTCAACCAAGAAAGCTAGGCGTCTGAAATCGTATGCCCATCTTTGCGATTCTAAAGAGATATCCCATGCTTTTGTCGGCTACCTCATGTTCTCTCTTCAAGCATGAAGATGAGCACAGTTGGTGCATGAAAAGGGGGCAGATATGGTCGTAGCTTCTTCCTTACGCAAACAGACGAGCGTAAGATCATGCAATGCTGGCTGTTGTTTTAAGATTGTGGATGCAGGTGCTTTGAATGTGTGCAATGCTCACATATATATAATATATATATATCATATATATAATTAAATAGTCAATCAAGTGACTTTGATTTTGAAGAGTTTGTCTTTTCATTTAG